GATCTACTTGTTATTAAAAGCCGGATGAAGAGTTTTAACATCGTCGTGTTTGGCCAGACGGTTTGATGGCCTCGGCATAGGTAATTATTGCCACTGTCTTGAGCACTGTTCGGTGCGTGGTGTAGAATTTTTGGTGAAGAAAAGAGTTCATTTGTTATGACTTTCTTGTTCTTCAAAACCGTTATAATGTTCACCAGACAACATTTGCCGCGAGAACACTTCCTTGTTCGTCTGCGAGATTACTGAAGAATGGATTATCATGACCGCTTAANTCTTGAAAGCAATCATCTCGGAATTTTTTAAAAGTGGTTGCAACTAGACATTGTCATTTACGAGAAAAGCAACCATGACTTATTGACAGCGGTCGCTTACAAGGGATTTTAGCAAAAGGCTTTTTTATTGTTTATACCACATTCATGTGAAATAATTTTAATTAGGATCTTTTCTTGTTAATTTGTTCACTCGATGTTAACCAACCATGTCTTATGTTATGGTATAAGCCTAAATTTACTCAGGGAGTTAGTCCTTTTATTCATCAAGTGTTGACTATATGGTCATTGCTTTCGAGAACTTACCATTCTCTTCTGTGTACTCTAGGACAAAGATACGACCAGCTTGTTCTTGAAAAAAGTTGGCCGTTTTTTTTTTAATGGTCGATCATGCATGCCACATACCCCCCCACCCCCTGTCACCCCACCCGGAGACTCCGGGGACTCCAGTTTGAAAATCATGACGGGGATGCTCGTCGTCTCGCTTAGCTGTAGAAATTGCAGAGTTTGGTTTCACTTAGGATGTTCAGGACGGTAAGCAAATATTTTTACCTATGAAGGCATTGCTCTGGGTTAAGGACACATAAATAGCTATACAAACAAACAAATTTTGTCTCCTTTTGGAGCCAAGCCAAGATTGGTCTCCTTTAGGGGTTAAATTCTAATTTTCCGACTAGTATACTCTTCCTTTTTTAAGGAGAGTTCCCACCCTCCACGTCTCCGTAGTTTCTTCCAATAGCGTGACTGTCCAAAATAGCGTGACCGTCTGTATTATCGGTTACGTGATGGCAACTTCCTTCAGATCAATTTCATTTTCGACAGTTTCGCTTCTTCATCGTACGGTGCTATCTCACGCGTTATTAAATTGAATTTCCTTGGGTTGTTTTGGGCAAGGTGAGTAATTTTTCCTTGGTTATTTGGGTTAACATAGCCACAGAGTAATCCACGCAAATTTTGTTGGTCTTAGTTTTACATAATAGGAAGCTTCGTATGTGCTGGCCGTTTATAGATCTACTTGTTATTAAAAGCCGGATGAAGAGTTTTAACATCGTCGTGTTTGGCCAGACGGTTTGATGGCCTCGGCATAGGTAATTATTGCCACTGTCTTGAGCACTGTTCGGTGCGTGGTGTAGAATTTTTGGTGAAGAAAAGAGTTCATTTGTTATGACTTTCTTGTTCTTCAAAACCGTTATAATGTTCACCAGACAACATTTGCCGCGAGAACACTTCCTTGTTCGTCTGCGAGATTACTGAAGAATGGATTATCATGACCGCTTAAGGTCGCTCTGTCGCTAGAAATACGTACATAAAGGGGTCGTTACCATCCCATAGCCTGAATAATACATCGATCACAGTGGATCAATCGTTGTCCACGAAAGATTTTTTCATGTTTGGAACACAACCAAATCATCACTTGCAATTATTTGTGTGCTATGATGTCTGGGTCATCATTCATAAATTTCATCCCTGTCAGTCTTGTAAGTTGCTAACTTAAAATTCAGAAAAACAACCACAAAAAAAGAGGTAAAAATTCTCGCAAAGAGAACGGCCAAAGAAGGAGAGGTTTCATTTAAATGGTATCACTGTTACTAAATATAAAAGTCTACGCACGTGAACATATATTTCCTGTCGTCTCTCGTTACTTTTCGGGTGGAGAGTTTCGTGCGTAGTTCCCACGCAGACTCGCGTTCTTAGGGCTTCGTCACGCGTTCAGAAACGTCTGCGTGATTGCACCATTTTAAAACGAATTAAAACAAACAAATTAAAACGACGGGTCATCTCACCATAACTCGGTCTAGGAGTGAAAGGGATAAATGCTAAAAGAAATTTTCGTGGAATTTTTTTTAAGACCAAGAATTAGCAATTTCAATGGAAAAAAAAGTAATGAACTTTCAGAGAACTTTTGTATAACTCACTTTGTTCTCTTTTGCTATACGTTCGTCGTCTTCCCCCCCGCCCCTACTGCACACTCCTTTCCTGTCTATGGGGCGGTAGTGCTACTCGTAACACCCACACCTTACCATTCTCGACTCCAGAGCCTGTTTTTTTAGGGGTGGGGTAGTGCGGGGGACAAGGGAGAAGCTCTGGGGTCGACAATGCTTGCATACAAACAGGATTTATCTCCTTCCTACTTTTTATATTTCTTTCACTCAAGTAATATTTACCTTTAGAATATCTGTTACCCCCAACTTGCCATTCAATCGAAGCGCTAATCGAAACGGTCTACAACACACACACACACACACACCCAAAAATAATTGTACTGCACTAATTCAAATAGACTTTTAGGGTGCGTTTCTTTACTAAAATCCAAATCCAGGTTTTTAATCCAACAACGGATTTTTCGTTTCTTTCATAAAATCCAAAAAGGATTATTGATCCAAATGATCCACAGCGGAGGTGGATTCTTTGGATCGTATCCAAAACCGGATACACGATACATGATCCGAGTGGTTTCTACTACGGAGCCGAAAAGATTAATACTCAGGAATAACGGCAGCGGGTAACTAGAAACTGTTTGACAACACTGCTCATCTTTACGGCCATTTTTGTACCTGAGGCATGGATTAAACAACAACTTTTATCTGTTTTATCGGGGTGATAACATTGCAATACAAACAGGACCTACATTGTTGTAGTTCACAAGGACAAATCGAGAAAAAAACTGCTACACAACTTCGCGGGGCGTCTTGCAAGACGTTACTTTTCCAGTGCATATCTTATTTCAAGACTCATCTTCACTTGTCCCGTCTAAAGCTGTATCATGAAGCTAACCATCCAAAATACAATGAAAGATCAGCAAACTTGCAACATTGTCAGCAGCAGAGTTATTCTTTCTCTAAGCAGGATACCGTCAATATTGTGGGTTGTTGCTATACAAATGAATGGAAAATAATTCTTTTTTGGATACATCGTTTCTTTTCTTAACGCAAAATTCTAATGATCCAAAATTTTTATCTGATCTCGGATTTTAGTAAAGAAATGTACCCTTAGTTTTCACTGGTTGGTTTTAAAAATGGTCTAATAGACGTCTCCACTCAAATAAACGCCTCTTCAGTCTGATAACCTCGATCCACCCCCGCCCCCTTCCGGCCCCGTTCTGTTAGGTTTGTATTGGACTCCTCTCTAACCAACACCCCCCGTCTAATAGTCGTCATCCCATGAAAATTACTCCATAATACTAGGAAAAGTAACACAGAGCAACATAATTCAATTAGCTGGTATTCAGTTTCTTGTTTAATTAAAACGGTTTGCACATTGCATTTTGCTCCAGTGAGAAAAGCGCTAAATGATATTCTCGATGTGCACAATACGTCAGCAACCTTCTCCCGGCCTGTTCTAGTTTGGTAACATTAAGGAATGACAAGACCCACTTCCCCAGTCGTCTCTCAGTGTCCTATTAATAATGAACTTATGCACAGGACAGGATAGGAAAGACGGCAAACTTGTGTGACCAGCGTGACATTAATAATTTTGTTTGAACGTTTCGTCAAACTTAGCCCTCCTTTCAGTCCTTTCAACAGATCTTTTAGTAAATGACCAGAGAACTTTTATGTGAAGTGAAGATCATAATAAAGCACACAAGTAATAGCCTTGTCTTGTTTGTCACACACAAGCGTTAGCGCGTTGCGCGTCCTCTCCTTTCTGCCGTCCTGTTGCGTAAACTCGATAATATTAACGAGAAAAGCTCGACGGGAGAGTTAGGGCTGCGGGGACATAGTCTTTCCCTTTCGTTTTCCTCCTTCCCATCAACCCTCGCTCTCCCTTCCGTCGCGTGTGCGATCCAAACAGAGACGACTGAGGACGAGTCAACCCTCTTTCTATCTCCTTACCCCTCCCCACCCCTTGGAACTTTAAACTAAATAAACAAGTCTTAAAGTACGTCATGAGCGAAGCACCGGGCAAGCAAGTTGTGTTTTAAGCTTACGAGTGGTAGCTTATCTAAACGAATAGCGTAAAACTGTAGATACTTAACCTGCCGTCACTTATTTAACGGAGTTTATGATTAGTTACTAGCTTTTCATAATCTTTTTGCGAATCCTGTGTTCATCACCGGTCTCTAGTTGACATTTTCAATATGAATAAGTAAACAACCTATTTTTGACCTCACTAAAAATAAGTTAAAAACAAATATCTCTCACAGGATTGAAAGTTGGTGATGGAATACTCGCAGGAGCAACTAAACTACTTCAGACTCTGCTACATAGCATTTGATTTGGTTCCAGTGGGACTGCGGCAGATTTTCAAAAACGAATGGGATTTCCGTTATAAAGCAACGTTAATTGGAGAATGGAAAGACACGGCACAAAATGGTCTTGATTTCTACAACAATGAATCTAAAGCAAGTCACAAGAAAAACGCCCGTTGTCTGGCAACAATCCACAATGGTGACACGGCAAAGTGGGACTGCACCTGTTTGTTTTTTGCCATCCTGTACTCAGACACCGTTGGCACCACTTTAAGCCCAGCTGTCTATAAAGTGGTTGATGATATTCGTCAGGTGCGAAACGAGATCGCTCATATCACCGAGGCTAAATTGACAGATGCCGACTTCCAAACTTCTGTAGACAGATTGTTGAACGATTTTACATCCCTAGGTCTTGCTATAACTGAGATTCAAGAAATAANTCTCTAGTTGACATTTTCAATATGAATAAGTAAACAACCTATTTTTGACCTCACTAAAAATAAGTTAAAAACAAATATCTCTCACAGGATTGAAAGTTGGTGATGGAATACTCGCAGGAGCAACTAAACTACTTCAGACTCTGCTACATAGCATTTGATTTGGTTCCAGTGGGACTGCGGCAGATTTTCAAAAACGAATGGGATTTCCGTTATAAAGCAACGTTAATTGGAGAATGGAAAGACACGGCACAAAATGGTCTTGATTTCTACAACAATGAATCTAAAGCAAGTCACAAGAAAAACGCCCGTTGTCTGGCAACAATCCACAATGGTGACACGGCAAAGTGGGACTGCACCTGTTTGTTTTTTGCCATCCTGTACTCAGACACCGTTGGCACCACTTTAAGCCCAGCTGTCTATAAAGTGGTTGATGATATTCGTCAGGTGCGAAACGAGATCGCTCATATCACCGAGGCTAAATTGACAGATGCCGACTTCCAAACTTCTGTAGACAGATTGTTGAACGATTTTACATCCCTAGGTCTTGCTATAACTGAGATTCAAGAAATAAAGAACCAGACGACCTTTCCAACGATGGAAGTGGAAAATATTAAGAAAGAAGCTCGTAATCTCCAAGCCGAGTTAGACCTGACAAAAAGCACTCTTCAAAGTACCGAAGCTGCCCTGGTTTCTCTCACACAGGAAATAAGTGTGGAACTGCAGTCATTTTGCATTCTCCCGTCGCGTCCACCACATGATATCATCAGGCGCTCGCATGACATTCAAAGGATCACTAGCAAAATGGAGGAACTTAACAGTGGCTCTAGCGGAGCAGTCAGTACAGTGTATTTGTCAGGAAATCCAGGATGTGGCAAGAGCCAACTTGCCCGGGAAATTGGGCAGCAGTTCTTTTCTGAACAAACCGATAATCTTATCTTTGCTGCGACAATAAACACAGAAAGCGTTGAGACACTTGCTGACTCTTACCTCACCCTTGGAAGACACTTAGGGATAACAGAATACGCGTTGACAAGCTTGGAATCTTTAAAAAGAGAGAAACCTATTGAAGCAATTCAAACACTTCATCGCTTGATTTTGCCGAAGACCAGCAAGTTCATCAAATGGTTGATAATAGCGGACAATGTGATTGACTTACGCGTAGTCCGCGACTTACTACCTCAAACTGGCAGTAAGGAATGGGGCCATGGGCAAGTGCTGATTACTACTCAAGATAGTGGTACAATTCCTCAAAACGCCCCTCACACGTATCATGAATCGTTAAGTAAAGGAATGAGGCGGAAAGAGGCAGTGGAATTGCTAGAAACAGTATCGCAAATTTCAGAGCCAGCACAAGCAGAAAATGTCGCTGAACTACTCGATTTTCAACCACTGGCCTTAGCTGCTGCTGCTTATTACGTGCAAACTGTTGTGAACAGTGGGTCTTCAAATTATGATTGGAAAGCATACCTTCAAGACATATCAACATACAGTCAACGTAAAGAGGCGGAAACTGTCCTTGCTAGTGAGAGTTCAGCCTATGCTAAAACAACAATGGCCGCAGTAGAAATGGCTATCCAAAGAGCTGTTGAAACAGACGAGGTTCTTCTTCATACATTCTCCTTTCTTTCGCTCTGCGCTAACGATGATCTTCCACTCGAAACTGTTTTAAAGTTCGTCAAAGCCCAAGGAAAGGACCATCAAGAGGTTTTAATGAAGGCAAAGATTGTAAGGTCTTCCTTAAGTCTTGTTCATTCCGAAGATGGGGGTGAACGAACTTATTTACGCTTGCATAAAGTTGTGCATGAAGCTTTGAAACGAGGCGAGGTGTTCAACTTGAAATCATGGAGGAGGGACCACACTATGGCAGAAGCGGTAAAGATTTTCAAGGTTGAGCTCGACGAAAATGACGAGAATTATGCGTTTTGTAAAAAATTGAGGCCCCACTGTGAATCTGTACTTAAGTACATGACGTCAGAGTTTAGTTCGGATGAAAGCACTTTTGTAGCAAGGTTTACGCCCTTCGTAGATTTGGATACAGTTATTGATTGGCTATATACTCTCGCCAGTGTCTGTGAGAAAAACTCTTATATCTTCTTTGCGAAAAATGTGGTCGACCTAGCATGCAACCTACTGGGAAATAAAGAGGACACTTCAACAGGTGCGTTAACTCGTAAAGGGAGGGTTTTGAACATGACTGGCAAAGTGTACAATAGCCTGGGAGAGTACAATCAAGCCAAAGAATTTCACGAAAAAGCACTGATGATTCGCAAAAAGATTTTTTGTGAGGATCATGCCGATGTAGGAGAGAGTTATAACGACTTAGCATTAGTTTGCAGCAGCCTGGGAAAATACAATCAAGCCAAAGAACTTCACGTAAAAGCACTGACGATTCGCAAAAAGATTTTTGGTGAAGATCATGCCGATGTAGCAACAAGTTACAACGACTTGGCAATAGTGTTCAACAGCCTGGGAGAAAACAGTCAAGCCAAAAAACTTCACGAAAAAGCACTAATTATTAACAAAAAGATTTTTGGTGAAGATCATGCAAATGTAGCAACAAGTTACAACAACTTGGCATTAGTGTACAGCCACCTGGGAGAATACAAACAAGCCAAAGAACTTCACGAAAAGGCACTGATGATTTACAAAAAGATTTTTGGTGAAGATCATGCCGATGTAGCAACAAGTTATAACAACTTGGCATTAGTTTACAACCACCTAGGAGAAAACAGTCAAGCCAAAGAACTTCATGAAAAAGCACTGAAGATTTACAAAAAGATTTTTGGTGAAGATCATGCCAACGTAGCAACAAGTTATAGCAACTTGGCGTTGATGTACAAACGCCTGGGAGAATTCAATCAAGCCAAAGAACTTTACGAAAAAGCACTGATAATTAGAAAACAAATATTTGGTGAAGATCATGTGTATGTAGAAACAGTTCGTAGTCAGTTGGCATTAGTAAACAAACACCTTGGAAGCAGTGGAGCACGGCACGCGAAAGCATATTGTTTAATCCTTTAAATTGTCTTATTTTACAGTACTAGCGTACGTAGCTTTCGCTTCCAAGTAAATCGCCATCCAGGTATATTTCTGTGTTTAAAGGACTTCATATAATAGTGTATTCAGTAACTGACTATAATACGATATCAGAAGAGGATAAAGGAGGCGATAATTGTTTCATTTCCAAAGAGTTGTTACAAATTAGTTCATGTAATGTAGTAAATTGCGGGAGGAAACACTCTTTATTTTGGGCTCAAAGAAATTTCCCCATAGGACGCAGCGTTTGTGTTCGATGATATAAACGATGTTCTGAGTTCAATAGAAACAATGCTCAATGATGTTCTAGATCGACACCTTCCACTCAAGTAAGGGGGTGTTTACATGAGAAAACGCGCACCGGCGCGAGTTTCATACAGGGAAGACTTTTTCATTTCGTATCGGGTTTACATGATGACTGGGTCATTTGTAGGTACACTTCATGTTGATAAAATTCACGTGTGATTCAAAATCGCAAACGTTATGCATGCGCTACCCGAAACGCGTGGTCGTTTTGCGTTTACATGATACCCTTGGGATATTTGGGAGATAACAACTTCATACGAGCTCCAATCAGCTTTTAGGTCGGAACATTTACAGAAACAGCCCTGATCAGACTTACCGACCAGATATTAACGAACATGGACAATGACGAGTTGACCGGTTTGGTGTTTACAGATTTTCGCAAGCTTTTGATGTAATTGATCTTGAACTTCTTTTAAGTTGTCTATCTACGGGGTTTTACCCTCTTCCATCGCTTGGTTTAAATCGTACCTGTCTGAGAGAAAGCATTTTTTTACTTTAGGGAAAGTTTAGTCTGAACAACTGACCGTAAAGCAAGGTGTGCCCCAAGGGTCAACTTTTAGGCGGTGCTTTTCCTTTTGTTCGTCAACGATATGCCTCTTCATGTTCACAAATCAAGTATGGACATTTATGCAGATGATTCCACCTTGTCTTCAAGTTCAAATTGGAAAACCATTTCATCACTGAACCAAACATTTTCTGATGACCTGGCAGAGATAGAGAGATGGGCTAGAGGTAACAAAATGTACATAAATACGCAAAAAACGAAAGCTTTGTTGGTCACTAGAAAGCGTCTACCGAGGCGTATGGACTAAGATTCAGGAAAGCTGGAAGTTGTAACGGATACCGCTGAAATTGAGCAATTTGCAAGTCATAAACTTTTTGGCTTGATCATCAACGAAGACCTAACTTACGAAATAAATGTCGATGAACTCTGCAACAAGCTCTCCAAGCGTCTCGGTCTTTTACGTCATATCAGCCCATACTTGAAGAAAAATCAGAGAATCATTTACTTTAACACAGTCAAAAAGCCACTCATGATGTATGCAGGCTCAGTAGGGAGATCGTGCCACAAAATGCTACTTGAAAGAGCTCTGCGATCGCAAAAACGGGCGGCACGCATTATTCTGAGTGCCCCTCGCACTAGTCGAACAGTGGCATTGTTTAACAATTTAAGCTGACTCCCTTTTTACGGTGAAGCATATATCAATCGCTGTGCACTTGGTTTCAAAAGGATAAATGGAACTGTCTGCCTCACTATTTAAACACATCCTTAAGAAAAAACGTCAGATAACCACACAAGAATCACAAGAAATTTTAATTTAAATCTACTGTCCCCCTCCACAAAAACATCTCAGAGGGGGTACGCACCTTTGCAGTGAGAACTGCTAAGGACTAGAATAACTTTCCCCGAACCCTAAGAACTAAGAAGACTTTGAAATCCTTCAAGTCAGAATCATGGAAAGTACTATTAAATTCCCAAAAGATTAAGGGATCTTTTGATATTAATTAATTACATCACTTCGTTGTCATCCCCTCTGTCCTTAATTTTTAACTATTTTTCTCGTTAGTCGGTAAATTTTTATTGTAAATATTTTAATTATAAATAGTAACCTATCTCTAGTTTTTATTTCATTTCATTATATTTTTTAATTATATTTAGAGGGCCACAAGTTTATCAGTAATTTTAATCACGCGTAACCCTCGTCAAATAATTAACAAAAAGTCGCTTATCTTATATTATGTTATTTTCACATTATCTAATTGTGGAAAGTTACCGTAAAGATCTAAATATGGGGATATTGAATGGCCATTATGCTTTCTTTTTGTCGGTGAGACGTAAAGAAGAAAGGGGGAATTTCCTGAGAAGTTGGGTTAAACCTTAGGTGGATAAATTACGGTTTCTTTCATGAACAACACATCACTGAAAGTTACCGACACTAATCGGAATGTGAATCAACAACCTCCCCCCCCCCCCCCCCCCCCCCCC